TCATACAGGAATTCAGTAAAGTGGCAGGATAGAAAATCAATGCACAGAAATCAGTGGCATTCCTATACACCAACAACAAGATGGAAGAAAGAGAAATTAAGGAGTCAATCCAATTACAATTACACCCAAAACCAAAAGATACCTAGGAATGAATCTAACCAAAGAGACAAAGGATCTGTACTCAGAAAATTATAAAATACTCATGAAAGAAATTGAGGAAGACATGAAGAAATGGAAAAACATTCCATGCTCATGAATTGGAAGAACAAATATTGTGAAGATCTCAATGCTACCTAGAGCAATCTACACATTCAATGCAATCCCTATCAAAATACCATCCACTTTTTTCAAAGAAATGGAACAAATAATCCTAAAATTTGTATGGAACCAGAAAAGACCCCGAGTAGCCAGAGGAATATCGAAAAAGAAAAGCAAAACTGGTGGCATCACAATTCTGGACTTCCAGCTCTATTACAAAGCTGTCGTCATCAAGACAGTATGGTACTGGCACAAAAACAGACACATAGATCAATGGAACAGAATAGAGAGCCCAGAAATGGACCCTCAACTCTATGGTCAACTAATCTTCAACAAAGCAGGAAAGAACGTCCAATGGAAAAAAAGACAGTCTCTTCAACAAATGGTGTTGGGAAAATTGGACAGCCACATGCAGAAGAATGAAACTGGACCATTTCCTTACACCACACGCAAAAATAGACTCCAAATGGTTGAAAGACCTAAATGTGAGACAGGAGTCCATCAAAATCCTAAAGGAAAACACAGGCAGCAACCTCTTCCACCTCAGCCACAGCAACTTCTTCCTAGAAACATTGCCAAAGGCAAGGGAAGCAAGGGCAAAAATGAACTATTGGGACTTCATCAAGATAAGAAGCTTTTGCACAGCAAAAGAAACAGTCAACAAAACCAAATGACAATGGACAGAATGGGAGAAGATGTTTGTAAATGACATATCAGATAAAGGGCTAGTATTCAAAATCTATAAAGAACAGATCAAACTCAACTCCCAAAGAACAAATGATCCAATCAAGAAATGGGCAGAAGACATGAACAGGCATTTTTCCAAAGAAGACATCCAAATGGCCAACAGACACATGAAAAAGTGCTCAACATCACTCGGCATCAGAGAAATCCAAATCAAAACCTCAATGACATACCACCTAGTCAGAATGGCTATAATTAACAAGTCAGGAAATGACAGATGTTGGTGGGGATGCGGAGAAAGGGAAACCCTCTTACACTGTTGGTGGGAATGCAAGCTGGTGCAGCCACTCTGGAAAACAGTATGGAGGTTCTTCAAAAAGTTGAAAATAGAGCTACCATATGATCCAGCAATTGCACTACTGGGTATTTACCCCAAAGATACAAATGTAGGGATCTGAAGGGGTATGTGCACCCTGATGTTTATAGCAGCAATGTCCACAATAGCCAAACTGTGGAAAGAGCCAAGATGTCCACTGACAGATGAATGGAAAAAGAAGATGTGGTATATATCTACAATGGAATATTATGCAGCCATCAAAAGGAATGAGATCTTGCCATTTGCAACAACGTGGATGGAACTGGAGGGTGTTATGCTGAGCAAAATAATTCAATCAGAGAAAGACATGTATCATATGACCTCACTGATATGAGGAATTCTTAATCTCAGGAAACAAAGTGAGGGTTGCTGGAGTGGTGGGGGGTGGGAGGGATGGGATGGCTGGGTGATAGACATGGGGGAGGGTATGTGCTATGGTGAGCGCTGTGAATTGTGTAAGCCTGTTGAATCACAGACCTGTACCTCTGAAACAAATAATACATTATATATTTAAAAAAAAGAAGAAGAAGAAGAAGATAGCAGAAGGGGAAGAATGAAGGGTGGGAAATCGGAGGGGGAGACAAACCCGACAGACTATGGACTCTGAAAAACAAACTGAGGGTTCTAGAGGGGAGGGTGGTAGGGGGATGTGTTAGCCTGTTGATGGGTATTAAAGAGAGCACGTTCTGCGTGGAGCACTGGGTGTTATACGCACACAATCATGGAACACTACAACAAAAACTAATGATGTAATGTATGGTGATTAACATAACATAATAAAAAAAAAAGTGCTCTGGGCCATCCCTGCACTGATTTCTTGAACCTGTCTCCTCTTTGTTGCTTTTGCTGGGACACATCCTCCCATACATTCAAAGAAAGGATACTTATAAAGTAAATATTATAAATCTTTGCATGGCTGAAAAGGTCTTATTTTACTTTCATAGCTGATTGATGGTTTTGTTCTGCCTGGAATTCTAGGCTGAAAATCTAGTTTCAGACATTTTCTACCGTATTGAAGGGTCCAGTGTTGTTACTGAATACTCTAATGCCTTTTAATTTTGCATAGTTTTTGTTGCCTATATTTTTTCTGTCTCTCTCAATAATTTTATTATCTTCTCAATCTCTAGGGTAATAGAATTGCATAATAACGTGATTTAGTTATTGTTTCCTCATCACTAGGGTGGACACTCAGTGCATCTTTTGTATCTGGACACTTACACCTTCCTGCTATGAGTTTTCCTTTCATTGTTTCTTTTAAATTCTTCCCCTGTCTTCTCTCTTCTCCTGGAACAAATAGAGTTGAATGTTTTACCTCTTACTTGAATTTTTCATAATTTTTTTTCTATTTTTCATTTCTTTGATTTTTAAAAATTCTACTTTCATGGAGACTTCTTTGACTCTATCTTTCAACCATCTATTGATTTCTCTTACTTTATTACTCTTTTTATTTTGTTTCCAAAAATAATATTTTTATTGTTTAGTTTTTTAAAGTATCATGTTCTCATTTCATGATTGCAAATATTATCTCTGATCAATGTGAAGATATCAGTGGTGATTAACATAATATAATAAAAATTTAAAAATAACAAAAAAGATATCAGTGGTTTTCAAAGTGAATTTTTTTGTGTCATCTTAGATTCCACCAAATTCCTTTTGGCCTTCCTAAAGTCTCACTTTTTACTTTAGCATCTTATGTGTATTACAAAATTTGGCACCAAAATTTTGAGCAAAATCTCTGGATCAATAGAGCAGAGCTGACCAACTGGTAGGCTTCTGGTCACGGTTTTAGCTGAGAGACAGCCATTCTATTTATGATCTCCAAAGGCAGGATGTGAAGGACTTTAATATAATTTAATTTCATAATGCAAAGAGGTCACTACTCTGTTGTGAAGTGTATACCTGTGTGAGAAACTGAGAGTAAAAAGAGAGGATAGAAGACTGAACCATTCTTGTCTCTTACTCTCCCTATTACTAGTCCTGAATCTCACCATCTCCCTTACCTGGTGTCCTGGCATCTCAAACATGTCAGGGATTCTGGAAAATAAATCTGTCTATTTCTCCTATCACCCTCAGTTGCTATTTTAGTGTTAGCCTTCTCTGTGTGGCCAAAGTAGTTACCATACCTTTGTCTTCTCTTTTCCAAACATTTGTTGGAATCTTTTGTCTGCACAATCTAATTTCTGTCCTGTTTTCTTTGTTACTGTGAGTATAAACTTGTTTCCCCTTTGTTGTTGTTGTTGTTATCTTATTTAGATCTTGGGGGGAAAGGGAAAACTAATGTAGCCCACAATTTAAAATATAAGTTCAGTATATTTATTCATTTAAATAGGTATTAATAAAAAGGATAGACTGATCCTTTTCTGCAGAGGAAGAGTAATATGAAAAATATAAGGAAATGCAACAAAATGTCAGTGGTGATCATGTATGGAAAGCCTAAGTGCAGAGAAACCATTTTAAGGAATTTTCAAAAGTCTCACTTGCCAACTATCAACATCATAGTATCCACCTCCAGTGAAAAGGAGAGACTGGTAAATGTAATGTTTCAGTGGGGTCACCATAAATAATATTAAGTCTCTGTTACTCAGGAAAAGAAAGGAACAATGGATACTGGAGTAACAACAGGTAGACTCCATCACAAGAATCTCTTGGGCATATCCAGGGAGTGGAAAAGAAGTAAGATACATTATTTATATCCTTAATAAGTTGTAGAAATGAGATAAAATCCATTAAGGGAACAAAAACCAGAAAGAAAGTAAGGTCTGAAAGCATTTTATAAACTATATGGAGGTGTGTTTAAGGCACACAGAGAATAAATGTTGGATGAAATTAATCAGAGCAGAATTCTTGAAAGATATGAGTCATGAAACAAGATCTAAAAAGTTCCTCAGAGGGTGCCTAGCTGGCTTAGTCAGTGGAGCATGCAACTCATGATCTTGGGGTTGTGAGCTCAAGCCCCAGGTGGGGTATAGAGACTGTTTAAAAATAAAATCTTGGGGTGCCTGGGTGGCTCAGTGGTTGAGTGTCAGACTCTTGGTTTCAGCTCAGGTATGATCTTAGGGTCATGAGATCAAAACCACATCAGGCTTTATGCTCAGCAGGGAGTCTGCTTGAAGATTCTCTCCCTCTGTGCCTCCCTCCATGAGCACGTGCACACACACACTCTCTCTCTCTCTCTCTCCAAAATAAGTAATATATACCTTTAAAAAATAAAATAAAATCTTAAAAAGTAAAAAAAATAAATTAATTAAAATTTCCTCGGAATAAAACTGCCTTTTCTGAAGTAGGCTACCCAGCTATTCTACCCAGCTATTACACTTCTGTTTTTAAGAGAAATGGTTAGATTCCTCAGAGATATCTTTCTCTTGTAACCTCATTCCAAATCATTCAATTACAGATTAAGAAAGCTTAATTTGAATTGAAGGGGTATACAGCAGTTAAATGAGATGCTGAGTTGTAGTCTTTACTCTCCTACTCTAAAAATAAAAGATAAACCTTGACAGTATGGAATGGTCTAAGTTTAGCCCACCCAAAGACAGAAAAAGAAAATAGTCTCAAATTATTGCCCATTCAATGAAACCTTGTACAAGATAGTTGAATTTTAGAGACTATTCCTTAAAATCATTGATAAGTTACAGACCACTGAAGATATCAGCAAATTCTCTGATTTTGCAATTCTGACAAGCTATCTCTTCTGCTTTTCCTTCAAGGAGACCTTGTGACTCCATATCCGTTTCATGGCATTCTTTACATCCTCATTCCTTAGAGTGTAGATGAGTGGGTTTAACATTGGGGTGATGGTAGTATAGAACACAGACACAGCCTTATCTAGTGGGAAAGTAGTGGATGGACGGAGATAAATAAAGATACAAGGGACAAAGAAGAAAGTTACTACAGTGAAATGAGACCCACAGGTTGAGAGAGCCTTGCGCTGGCTCTCTGAAGACTGCTTGCGAAGACTAAATAGAATGACTGTAGGAGGCCAGAAGAATGAGGAAGCACCCCAGAGAGATGAGACCACTGTTGGCAATCACCAACATGTTTACCAGGGTTGTATCAGCACAGGCAAGTTTCAGGATGGGGTGGACATCACAAAAGTAGTGGTCAATGACCTGATTATTGCAGAAAGGTAGCTGAAAGGTCAGGAGGGTCTGAAAAAAGGAATGAGCCAGGGCTCCCAACCAGGACAGTGATGCCAGCACAATACAGGCATTGGCACTCATGATGGTAGTATAACGGAGTGGTTGGCAGATGGCAGCATAGCGGTCAAAAGCCATAACGGTCAAGACAAAAATCTCAGCACAACCAAAAAAGTGGAAGGTAAACATCTGAGTTCCACAGCCCCAGTAGGAAATGGTCTTTTTCTCGGAAACAAAGTCTGCAATCATCTTGGGTGCTGTGGCTGAGGAATAGGCAATGTCCACAAAGGACAGGTTACTGAGGAAGAAATACATGGGTGTATGGAGCCGGGGATCAGAAAACACCGTAAGCAGAATAAGCAGATTTCCCACCATGATCACAATGTAGAAGAGGAGAAATAAGGCAAAGAACATCAGTTGCATTCCAGGATCTTGGGAAAGTCCTAGGAATATAAACTCAGTGACATTGTTAGCCACTTCTGTGCGGACCCAGGTGATACTGGTTTGGTGACTCTGGTTCCCTGCAAAAATAAATAAATATCATAAACCACTGTAAGCATGGTAAAGCCTAACAGGAAAATATTTAAGTGATGAAAATACTTAAGTGAATTTAAATAGTAGATAAAATTCTTCATATTTCTTGAACACAGTTAATGGCTATCTTCCTCACCATTAATTTTCTTACCACATTATTTACTCACATTGTTACACTTAGGCCTATAGTTCCTTTCTCCCAAATAATAATCTAGAGAATATGAGGGGTTTTTAAATTGGATTTAATGTTCTCTAATCCTCCCTCTTTCTCTCTCTGCCTCTCTCTCTCTCATTTTGCCAGAAATTCTCTTTGGGTTGGAAAGTTTTAAATTAATTATTAAGTGGCTAGCTTAATTTTGGAGAGTTAAGATAAATGCAAGAAGTCAGTACCCGAGATTTGATGCCAAATTTCTGAGATGAATCTTTTTTAACATAATGTACACAGATCAACTTTAGAAGAATAACATTCTACTTAATCAAGTGAGAAAATCTGTTTTTAGTTTCTAAATTAGGTTGGAAGTTTTGGTACAATTAAAAATTAAGTTGTTTTTAGTGACCAAGAACAACAGATACAGAGGCCTCCTGCTCACCAATAACACATGCTTACAAATCACATTGAGGGGGTTGAGTCCTAAGCCTTGGTCTGCATGTGAAAATTCCATTTTGCTTGCCAGTTAGGAATACCTGAGGAGTGGTCAAGCTATACAGAGAAATACTTTTCCCTGTGTTGCTCTAAAGAGTTGAAAAGTTTGGGTGCCTGGGTGGCTCAGTTGGTTAAGTGACTGCCTTTGGCTCCGGTCATGATCCTGGAGTCTCAGGATTGAGTCCCGCATCCGGCTGGGTGCTCGGCAGGGAGTCTGCTTCTCCCTCTGACCCTCCCCCCTCTCATGCTCTCTCTCTCTCATTCTCTCTCTCAAATAAATAAATAAAATCCTTTAAAAAAAAAGAGTTGAAAAGTTTAAAACTTATTGAGACTCCTATCATCCTCAGTCCTTTTGCCTTGAAAAAGCCCTCTCCCTGTAATCATAGGTAAGCATCAGGAATAAGATTTCCCATACAGATATTTCTATAAATGATAGTTAAAGAATAAGTGTCTGACACCATTTTACAAACTATATACAGGGATCCTCAAGGCATACAGATAAAAATATTGGGTAAAAATTATCAGGGAAGAATTCTTGAAAGAGATAAATCATGAGACAAGATCTAAAGAAGTTCCTCAGAATGAAAATGGCTTTTTTTGAAGCATTGCAAATTACTAGCTATCTTCCATCTTTGCTAGGAACACCTCTTTTCTGCCTGGGTAGTGGAAGCTGAGTAATTTAAGTTTGAGCATCCCTACCAACAGGATTACTTTAAGTAAATCTATTTATTCTTTCTGACTCTCAGTTTTCTCATTTTAAAAGATGGGTGATACAGTTATTTTACTTCACAAAGCTGTTACAGAAATAAAATGAGATCGTTTGTGTAACTTTGTTTTCTATTTATGAGGTGGCTTCCTTTGTAATTTGAATCTGTGAAGTGGGATCTTTCTAGTAAGTAGAAGTTTTAATTTGATCTGTTTGTCTATTATATAAAAATTATATAGATAATATATAGATTGTCTATAGACAGTAGAAATAGAAAATTTAAAATTCATCCATAATTTTATTCCTGAAATAATAAACTATAGTATCTGTCCATTTCCATTGAGGACATATTCTTAATAGTAGTGATACTGGTAGTAAACACTTACTAAGCACTTTACTATGTGCAGGATTGTATGCTAAACTATTAAGATATGTCCCCTCATTCTCTACTCACAGCAACATTGTAATTTCAATCTCCATTTTAGAGAGCACGAAATTTTTAAGAGGTTAGGTAAATCATCCAATATAACATAGTCAGTGAAGAGGCTGGTATTTGAATTGAACCATCCTAATTCCAAAACCCACACAATACATATCCCCTTAAATAAATGAAAAATGGGTAGAATGATAAGTAAACAAATGATAATGATAGATGATAGATAGATGATAGATAGAAAGAAAAGTAGATGGATAAATTTCTCATGAAAAAGAATTGCATTAAAATAATCAAGTGCTCTCTTATGGTGCAAAGTTCTTTGATTAGAGAATATGCTCCACTAAAATCTTAGAACATTCTGACACTATACCAGCAAAGCTAAATTGTGCTCAGTCATAACCAATTGACAGAATCATAAGGGTTGAGAAAACATTTAGGTAATAATAGAAAACACTTATATTGTACTTATTGCGTGCTAAGTATTGTTCTAAGTGGTAGTGATTCACTTAATTCTCATAACATTCATACAGTGTAAGCTATTGTCATCATCCCCACTTCAGAAATGAGGAAACTGAAGCACAAAGTGCATAATTTGCACAAGTTCACAGGGTGAGGTAATTGGCAGAGCTGGTATCTGAACTTAGGCAATGGAACTTCAAAGTTTATTTTCTTTACGAATTTGCATACTGCTTGGGCTGTGGGCATCAAAATCAGCATATGTTCTTTTTCATTTGAAAGTCTTAAACTTTCTGTAATAGTCAAAAGACACCCTTCTGCTAATCATGATTTTTTTTTTTAAAGCTATATCCAGTTTTTATAGGCAGACACTGCAGTTGCAACTGGCAAGATCATCACAACATTCAGAGTCTGTGCCCAACTTGGCTTAAATTTACAATGAGAATGCAATGAGTGATGTGATACTGATCATTAATCTTGACATTATTTCAGTGACTGTGGTGACAACCAAATAGATGAGGCCCACATGTAAACCAGCAATCACAGTTCCAGAGGAGAGTCAGGAACACCTCTCCATAGAAGGTCTTCCCTGAGTGGAATTTTGAAAGGTCAGCTAGAGTTAACCTGATGATGAAGAGGACTGCAGAGTGATGACACAGAAGAGAAGACAGGGCAGGAAGGATGCTCTAGGCCTAGTGGATTAGGATATATGAGGGGGAAGGATATAAATCATAGCATCCCCTCTGAGGAATGCCAACAGGTTTGATACAGTTCATCACAGAATCCATGAAGGGAAGTGTCAGGAAGTGAGGCTAAAAAGGAAGAGGAGATCAGGTCATAGTCTTGTGGGTTAAGTTTGAGGAGTTGGAATTTATCATGAATGATTTGGGGGATCATAAAGAAAGATCACTGCTGCAGCAGAAGGGCAGTGGCAGCAGGAATGGGAGGTGCTGGAAAGTAGCTCTTACAAAGAAGCCTGAAACCCAGCTTTCCTAGATTCAAACCAAGCTCCCTTATTAGCTCACACTCTGACTTCAGGAAAGTTACTTACCTTCCCTTTGCCTCAGTTTTCTCAAGGGTTAAAAGTGGATAAGAATAGTACACACTACATAACTGCTGTACAGGTTAGATATGTATCATATGCAGCACTTACGTACATGGCACACTGTAAGTGAATATTTAATTATCATCACACATCTTAGTGACTGGAGAACATGCTGAATGCAAGGAGGGAAAAAAGCATGGATAAAAGTCATCTTAGGATGCTAAACTCCTTACTATGTTCATCTCCTAATTCCCATTTATATGTATTTCCATGTCTTCTATGTTTAGAAAATGTATCTACTGCTGACACCCACCTTCTCAAATATGTTCTTTGACTAGAGTAGTACCAGAATACAGTCCATATTCTTTTGTTTAATCAATTAATTAGCATATAGTATATTATTAATTTCAGAGGTAGAGTTTAGTAATTCATCAATTGCATATAAAACCCAGTGCTCATTACATCAAGTGCCCTCCTTAATGTCCATCACACAGTTACCCCATCCCCCTACCCACATCGCCTCCAGCAACTCTCAGTTTTTTTCCTATAGTTAAAAGTCTCATATGGTTTGTCTCCCTCTCTGCTCTCATCCTTATTTTATTTCTCCTTCCCTTCCCCTATGTTCATCTTTTTGTTTCTTAAATTCCACATATGAGTGAAATCATATGATATTTGTCTTTCTCTGACAGTACAGTCCATATTCTTGAATGGCTTCCTTTCAGAGTTCAGGCAAGATGACCCAAAGATGTTTGGGCAGCTGCTATATTCTTCCTGAATAGTGGCTATCTCAACATTATCTGGGTTCCCCTCAGGGGCTGAGAAAACTAGTCCAAGTCTAAGACCCAAGATCTTTTTACTATCTTCACTGGGAGAAAGAGCGCACCATTTAAAGATAGAATAGGGCCTGATTCAACAGCTCTGCCTCTTACAGGTTATGTGATCTTAACACAATTTTCCTCACTTCCATTAACTTCAAAGTCCTCCCCTGGGAAAGAACAATGTCACCCATGTAAAGATCAAATTAAACAATGGACATAAAAGCAACAAGTTAACAGTAAATCTAAGTCATAACCATTTCAGTAAAAGAATTTCAGAAGCATCAGTATCAATGTCTTAACACTGTGGACTAGGGCCTATATGGGATGGATCATTTTCACTGGTCTGTCCAGGTTCTTAGGTCAAATTTGGTCTCTCAGATAATGCCAAAGAATATATACTAGTTATAATGGTGTTAAAGAAATAAGATTGCTCCCTTATTTCCATTCATAAGCCCACCTAAATTACTTCAAATAGCAAGACTACAACTCCCTGAGGGCACCTGGGTGGCTCAGTTGGTTAAGCGACTGCCTTCAGCTCAGGTCATGATCCTGGAGTCCCTGGATCGAGTCCCGCATCAGGCTCCCTGCTCGGCAGGGAGTCTGCTTCTCCCTCTGACCCTCCCCCCTCTCATGTGCTCTCTCTCATTCTCTCTCTCTCAAATAAATAAATAAAATCTTAAAAAAAAAAAAAAAAAGACTACAACTCCCTGAAATTCTCTGGGAAAGAGATTCGGTCTTTAGTTTCATCTGTGAGTGATTTGCAAGGGGAAAAGAGATCAAATACTCTGGATCTCTTTCCCAACAGCAAGTTCCATCCCACAGCTAGCTCTTTGTGCAAT